TGAGTCTTAGATTCTCATTAGTTGAGGGTATGTAGACTGTGTGTGTGTGGAGTGTCGAGGGGTTACCTTTCTTGTTGAGTTTCTGTTTACAACTTTTGCATTATCCTTGACGATTTTGCTTACTCGTCTCTACCCGATTATTGCTCACTTTGTGTTCCTTGTCCTCATGTGTGTTCTGTGTGTGTTCCTTGTCCTCCTGCTGTGTTCTGTGTGTGTTCCTTGTCCTCCTGCTGTGTTCTGTGTGTGTTCCTTGTCCTCCTGCTGTGTTCTGTGTGGTGTTCCTTGTCCTCCTGCTGTGTTCTGTGCGTGTTCCTTGTCCTCATGCTGTGTTCTCTGTGTGTTCCTTGTCCTCATGCTGTGTTCTCTGTGTGTCCTTGTCCTCATGCTGTGTTCTGTGTGTGTTCCTTGTCCTCCTGCTGTGTTCTGTGTGTGTTCCTTGTCCTCCTGCTGTGTTCTGTGTGTGTTCCTTGTCCTCCTGCTGTGTTCTGTGTGTGTTCCTTGTCCTCCTGCTGTGTTCTGTGCGTGTTCCTTGTCCTCATGCTGTGTTCTCTGTGTGTTCCTTGTCCTCATGCTGTGTTCTCTGTGTGTTCCTTGTCCTCATGCTGTGTTCTCTGTGTGTTCCTTGTCCTCATGCTGTGTTCTGTGTGTGTTCCTTGTCCTCCTGCTGTGTTCTGTGTGTGTTCCTTGTCCTCATGCTGTGTTTGTGTGTGTTCCTTGTCCTCATGCTGTGTTCTCTGTGTGTTCCTTGTCCTCATGCTGTGTTCTGTGTGTGTTCCTTGTCCTCCTGCTGTGTTCTGTGTGTGTTCCTTGTCCTCATGCTGTGTTCTCTGTGTGTTCCTTGTCCTCCTGCTGTGTTCTGTGTGTGTTCCTTGTCCTCCTGCTGTGTTCTGTGCGTGTTCCTTGTCCTCATGCTGTGTTCTCTGTGTGTTCCTTGTCCTCATGCTGTGTTCTCTGTGTGTTCCTTGTCCTCATGCTGTGTTCTCTGTGTGTTCCTTGTCCTCATGCTGTGTTCTGTGTGTGTTCCTTGTCCTCCTGCTGTGTTCTGTGTGTGTTCCTTGTCCTCATGCTGTGTTCTCTGTGTGTTCCTTGTCCTCATGCTGTGTTCTCTGTGTGTTCCTTGTCCTCATGCTGTGTTCTGTGTGTGTTCCTTGTCCTCCTGCTGTGTTCTGTGTGTGTTCCTTGTCCTCATGCTGTGTTCTCTGTGTGTTCCTTGTCCTCATGCTGTGTTCTCTGTGTGTTCCTTGTCCTCATGCTGTGTTCTCTGTGTGTTCCTTGTCCTCCTGCTGTGTTCTCTGTGTGTTCCTTGTCCTCATGCTGTGTTTCTCTGTGTGTTCCTTGTCCTCATGCTGTGTTCTCTGTGTGTTCCTTGTCCTCATGCTGTGTTCTCTGTGTGTTCCTTGTCCTCATGCTGTGTTCTCTGTGTGTTCCTTGTCCTCATGCTGTGTTCTCTGTGTGTTCCTTGTCCTCCTGCTGTGTTCTCTGTGTGTTCCTTGTCCTCATGCCGTGTTCTCTGTGTGTTCCTTGTCCTCCTGCTGTGTTCTCTGTGTGTTCCTTGTCCTCATGCTGTGTTCTCTGTGTGTTCCTTGTCCTCATGCTGTGTTCTGTGTGTGTTCCTTGTCCTCATGCTGTGTTCTCTGTGTGTCCTTGTCCTCATGCTGTGTTCTCTGTGTGTTCCTTGTCCTCCTGCTGTGTTCTCTGTGTGTCCTTGTCCTCATGCTGTGTTCTCTGTGTGTTCCTTGTCCTCATGCTGTGTTCTCTGTGTGTTCCTTGTCCTCATGCTGTGTTCTGTGTGTGTTCCTTGTCCTCATGCTGTGTTCTGTGTGTGTTCCTTGTCCTCATGCTGTGTTCTCTGTGTTTTCCTTGTCCTCATGCGGTGTTCTCTGTGTGTTCCTTGTCCTCCTGCTGTGTTCTCTGTGTGTTCCTTGTCCTCATGCTGTGTTCTCTGTGTGTTCCTTGTCCTCATGCTGTGTTCTGTGTGTGTTCCTTGTCCTCATGCTTTGTTCTCTGTGTGTTCCTTGTCCTCCTGCTGTGTTCTCTGTGTGTTCCCTTGTCCTCATGCTGTGTTCTCTGTGTGTTCCTTGTCCTCATGCTGTGTTCTGTGTGTGTTCCTTGTCCTCATGCTGTGTTCTCTGTGTGTTCCTTGTCCTCCTGCTGTGTTCTCTGTGTGTTCCTTGTCCTCATGCTGTGTTCTCTGTGTGTTCCTTGTCCTCCTGCTGTGTTCTCTGTGTGTTCGTTGGCCTCTTGTTGTGTTCCTTGTCTATTTCTTGCTCTCTTGCTGTGTCCCTTGTCCACCCCCTTACGTATCTTTATCCTCCTGCATCTTGCAATGTACCAAGCGGGCAATGGTGCAATGCTCATTTATGCTTCTAACAATGTTTCACTGGAACTCTAGCTAACTTTCACAATATATATATAAATTACTGAAGGTGATTACTGACTCCTTCTGAAGATGTATTAATATGCGAAAGTACTTAAGGAAATTCCTGTTTCATTTTCCTCCGTGGTCTGACATTGTCACATTCTTAATCACGTGTTTATTTTCGTGATATACACACACATATATATATATATATGAACATTTCAAGCGAAACTACTTTGAACTGAAGCCAAATTGCTGGCTTTCTCGCAGGCCACCAAACTTAAACGGACCTCTTTGATGCCTCCAAGAAAATAGTCTTAATCGGATTTACAATGACGAAGTCCCATAGAGGCTTTATCCTTATCCTCGAATTACAACTAAAAGATCCAGTTGAAACGTTTTTGCAAAGTGTGTAAAAAAATATATATTATGATAGGGGGGGGGGGAGGGAGCAATTTTCACGTTTTTTTGCTTGGTTGAGTATATCATTAGAGTATAACATAATCATTGCCATGCAACATATGTCATTACAGGGCAACATATCAGTCAATAAGAGTGCAGCATAGCAATCATTACTATCCAATGTTACAATCATTATTATGCAGCATTACAATCATAATTATACAATATTACAATCATACTTATGCAGCATAACATTCAATACAGTGCAACAGCCAGCAATCAGTGCAGTACGATATAATGAGTACAGTAGGAGTGAATACACCGAGAATAGACCATTAAATGATACATAAAACAAACTGTATTTCGTTACGGCATTCTGTGAATATATTATCTCACTGTATTCTATCACTGTATGAAGTGTCACTAACGTGCCACTGTGTTCTGTCACTGTATTGTCATTGTAATGGCGCTGTATTATTATTGTATTATATCACCGTATTTCACAGTATTCTTTCACTATTTAGTCACTGTATTCTGTTACTGTCTGCTGTCATCAAATATGCTACTGTATTCTGTAAACTATTATGTCAGTATATTCTGCCACTGTATTATGTCACTGTACTCTATCACCACAGTATGTCACTGTACTATATCACCACAGTATGTCACTGTATTCTTTCACCGTACTGCCCCTGAATTGTCACTATTTTCTATCATTGTTATGTCACCGTATTTTGTCACTACAGTCACCGTGTTCTGTCACAGTACTCTTTCACTGTATGCACCCGCCAAACACACACCGAAACTACGACGTTGGTACAACGTTCGAACAAGTTTTAACACCTCCTAACCAGTTATAACAACCAATATAGCAAGTTGTAACAACGTTCTAATACGTCATAAACACGTTAAGCCAAGATGTAACAACTTTATTACAAGTTGTAACAAGCGGAAAATAGAGACAGTTACGGTTTGTGTTTCCAGGGATGCTAACGTAACCTCACGCCTTTTGTTGATAAAAAAAATCAAGATTTCTATAGAATTCAATATTCATAGCAAAATTAGCAACTACAAAATATAATGGAAACATGAGGGGAAAAAAAGAATCCCAGTGAGGAATATGCAAGAAATAATTAAGACATTGGGAATAAAAGTATGTTGTGTGGAGGAGGGAAGGAAAGAGAGAAATCCAAAGGAGGGAGGAGGTCTGGGGGAATCCAAGGAAGCGAGTTCGATCGCAACTAAGTGACTCAGAATTTTCTCACAAGAGAGTGGTGGAACGGTGAATTAAGACATGCCAGTGTGTGGCATTGCTCCCTCGTTGCCAACAACGGAATATTGACGTTGTTAGAACCATAAACATACAGTACAGTGCCCACTGCTTATAATTATCTTGTAAGACAGTTTCCCACCACAGGAAGAGCATGACCAGCGACCAAAAGCAAAGGTTATAACCGAGGAAAAACGTAAGTCTAACATTATCCCCCAAAATATGTCTTCTACGACGTGAACAACGGTCAAAAAAGGAGACATTTTCCTCAAGAAAGTGATCTGGCTCCTCTTCGACCTTGCATCTTCAAAAAGTTCAAAAGAATTTAAATTCCATCAGGAAAGTGATCCGATATATCCGCCTGGCGTCATGTTCAGACGCTGTGCAGGGTAGATACTCTGTTATCACGAGTTCACAGTCATTCTCTCACTATCAGAAGATGAGCAGAGTATAGAAATACCACCATGAAAGTGATCATTACACACACCTGTCATCTTCAAGGGGTTCTGAAGAATAGAATTTCCACCATAAAAGTGATCTCCACCTCGGCCTGTCAGCTTCAGAAGCCGACGGCCGAACTTGAGACGCCCATAAATTAACTCTACTGTCGAACTTTTCAATTTAATTTCGGAATTCCGCCAATTAATCTCAATATGTTACAACAGAGCTCCCCTGCACACAACAGCTGCCTAACCCCCAGGTATTTATACTCTTAGGTGAACAGCCGTATCAGGTGAAAGGAAACGTTGCCCAAAGGATTCCTATCATGCCTTGGGAATTGAACCCCGGAAAGCAAGAACAACTCTTGGTAAACGAGAATGATTAAATTGCCCTGGAAACAATTTGTTATACGAGGGTCCGATTTTAATAAATTGAATAATAATAATGTTTATCCAGGTAAAAGTCAATACGTTCAAAATTAGCTACAAACAGAATGTTGGATTTCTAGATAGAGTTAGTGCATACTAGGCCTAAAGCCGCTAGTACGCACAGCGTTGCTGGCATCTCTTGTAAACGGCGCTGTTCACTCTGGCGCTGTTCACTCTGGTGCTGTTCACTCTGGCGCTGTTCACTCTGGTGCTGTTCACTCTGGTGCTGTTCACTCTGGTGCTGTTCACTCTGGCGCTGTTCACTCTGGCGCTGTTCACTCTGGCGCTGTTCACTCTGGCGCTGTTCACTCTGGTGCTGTTCACTCTGGTGCTGTTCACTCTGGTGCTGTTCACTCTGGCGCTGTTCACTCTGGTGTTCTGTTCACTCTGGCTGGCGCTGTTCACTCCGCTGTTCACTCTGGTGCTGTTCACTCTGATGCTATTCACTCTGGCGCTGTTCACTCTGGCGCTGTTCACTCTGGCGCTGTTCACTCTGGTGCTGTTCACTCTGGCGCTGTTCACTCTGGTGCTGTTCACTCTGGCGCTGTTCACTCTGGCGCTGTTCACTCTGGTGCTGTTCACTCTGGTGCTGTTCACTCTGGCGCTGTTCACTCTGGTGCTGTTCACTCTGGCGCTGTTCACTCTGGTGCTGTTCACTCTGGCGCTGTTCACTCTGGCGCTGTTCACTCTGGCGCTGTTCCTCTGATGCTATTCACTCTGGCGCTGTTCACTCTGGCGCTGTGGCGCTGTTCACTCTGGTGCTGTTCACTCTGGCGCTGTTCACTCTGGCGCTGTGGCGCTGTTCACTCTGTGCTGTTCACTCTGATGCTATTCACTCTGGCGCTGTTCTGTTCACTCTGGCGCTGTTCACTCTGGCGCTGTTCACTCTGGTGCTGTTCACTCTGGCGCTGTTCACTCTGGCGCTGTTCACTCTGGCGCTGTTCACTCTGGCGCTGTTCACTCTGGTGCTGTTCACTCTGGCTATTCACTCTGGCGCTGTTCACTCTGGCGCTGTTCACTCTGGCGCTGTTCACTCTGGTGCTGTTCACTCTGGCGCTGTTCACTCTGGCGCTGTTCACTCTGGCGCTGTTCACTCTGGTGCTGTTCACTCTGATGCTATTCACTCTGGCGCTGTTCACTCTGGCGCTGTTCACTCTGGCGCTGTTCACTCTGGTGCTGTTCACTCTGGCGCTGTTCACTCTGGCGCTGTTCACTCTGATGCTATTCATTCTGGCGCTGTTCTGGCCTTGTTCACTCTGGCGCTGTTCACTCTGGCTGTTCACTCTGTTCACTATGGTGCTGTTCACTCTGGCGCTGTTCACTCTGGCGCTGTTC